TGGGCTGATTAATCATCTGTTCTGACATGTTTGTGTCTTGCCCTTGGAGGGGGTGGGGGTGGGGCTGAGAGGAAAGGCCTATTGGTACCACTTTAAACAAAATGAATGAAAATAAATAAAGTGCAGGTCGCAGGTCAATATCCAAACATGGCAACCATCAGTCATGGTTCCCCTTACCCTCCCCACATGCACCCCAGTGAAGAGTTAGTCTCAGAAACTCACAGGGCCAGTTCGGCCCTGTCCTGTCAGGTCGCGATGAACCGGAACCGGCTCCATGGTTGCGAGGTTTGGTTTTGAGGGATTTTTGGGGGAGGGAATGATTGAGTAAATATAAAATATGAACCTGAACGGTGACTTAAATGTCTTCTATGTCTCTGAAACCACGCGTGGGTTTTGTTTGTTTGTTTACCTGCCTGTTCCGCAGGTACACTTGTTTGTGCTTACTGACTCACTCTTTTGCAGAATGCCCTGGCAAAGGCGACGGTGAAGGAACTCGCTACGCTGCACAACACCAAGTACACCTACGGCCCAGGAGCGACCACCATCTGTGAGTCTGTGCCAAGAAACCGCAGGCCCGAGACGCTGGCAAAGGGTCGCCACTCAGCTTTTGCCAGTCTGTGAATCTCTGTGAAACGGGTCATCAGGAAAGGGGAGGGCCGAGGAGAGAGACCCCTTTCCAGCCAGGGAAGCATTTGCTCGTTGACAGCATCTAGTGAGCCCTCAGTGCACAGCAAGCCCGCACTGGTGACAGGAGCAGCGAGGAAGGGAGGGGAGGGAGGAAGGAGACCAGCACCCTCTTCAAAGACCCCACAGAGGAAGCCACCATCCATCGAAACACACAGAAGAATGTGTTTTCCGTCACAGAAGACGGCACCCAGTCCTGGGATATCAGGGGTCCCTTCCCAGAAATAAGGGCGCAGCGGTACCTTGGGGGAAACCTCTTGCTGTGGCCTGGATCCTGGCTCAGGGCAACCCTACCACCCAGCGCAGAACTGCCCCACAGTCCCCAAGCCTATGGAGCTCACTGACATGGCTTTCTCCCAGGGAGGAGCTACTGAGTTCCGGGCCCTTCCATTAGCCGTTGCGCATACAGCCACCGCACCAGCAAGGCGCAGCACAGGAAAGGGGAGATTGCTTTTCTAGCTAAACAGACTGCTGGTGTCAAACCCGCCAGAGGCTCTTACCACCTCCTGGGGGAGCCTCGGCGCTTTCTCCCAGACCCAGATCGGAAAGGGACAGAGAGGCAGGCCGTCCTCCGTGAGAAACAGCCCACTGAGGGGCAGCACGGAGTTCACGTCCACCTACCCAGCCCCACAAGCCTTTGTCTTAAAAATCCTAAGGACGTACAGTGGTTCAGAATCACCAAAGGGTGACTTTCTGTTTGCATCAAAATATGATTCCTACCCAGCGCATCGGTCAGAGGGGAAGCCCACGCAGCCAGCATAGACAAGCTGTGCTTAACCTAGGGCAGTGGTTCTCAAACTTCCTCATGCTGCGACCCTTTCAGACAGTTCTTCATGTGGTGGTGACTCAACCGTAAAATTATTTTCGTTGCTACTTCATCACTGTCATTTTGCTACTGTTATCAATTGGGTAACCCCTGTGAAAGAGTTGTTCAACCCCCAAAGGGGTTGCGACCCACAGGTTCAGAACCGCTGACCTAGGGCATCCCAAACTGGCTGGAGAGAAATTAACTAGGGAGGCAGGTAGAATCAGCAAGGACACTCATCAAACCCGTAGGTTATCAGGGTCCCTTTCTTCAAAATATCTGTTTGCTTGCCCTGAGAAGACTCTATGGGAACTCAGGAAATTTTAGAGTTTAAAAAACCCCACAAGAGATGGTTCTTCTCAGGTGGGTTTGGGGGCTCTAGCAAAGCCCCACCCAATCTGGCCTGAGTACTACAGGGTGGAGCACCATTCCACCCAGGCTCCGCTCGGCGCTACCATCACGCCTACTGACAAACTAAAAATGAACAAGTGCCCAGGCTCGCCCTGCCCTTGCTCGGCAAGCCCGAAGCCCCCCTCCCTCAGTGTCATCGCTGAGCAGCTTCCACAGGCCTGGAGTCCACTCCCCTCAGCCACTCAGCACACAGCCTCCCTCCCTCCTTTTCCTCAGAGATACTAAAGGGTATCAAGAAAGGATATACTATATAATACAGCGTCCCGTCGGAGGCACACACCCTGAGAATTTCGTAGAACCCAACAGATTCCATGCTTTCTGAGAGATGAAACACATCCCTCCCACAGAATAGGCGGAGGGGCAGGATGGGAGTGATTTTGTTTTAAGACTGCCCTCCTGTCCTTAATGATTTTGTGAACGAGGAAACGGACCGACCTGCATTCATGTTTGGCGTGGTGTGATCTTGGCAGGGCAGTTATAATCTCCTGTAAGAAACAAAACGAGCATGTATGCTGGTCCAGATAAGAGCTCACAACACAGGACAGATGAACCCCACAGGACCAATAATGAGAGTAGTGATACCAGGAGGGGAAGGGGAAGGTGGGGGAGAAAGAGGAAACCGATCACAATGATCAACATATAACCCCCTCTCAGGGGATGAACAACAGAAATGTAGGTGAAGGGAGACACCAGTCGGTGTAAGACACGGAAAAATAATTATATATAATCAAGGGTTCATGGGGTGTGTGTGTGAAATGAGCTGATACCAAGGGCTCAAGTAGAAAGAAAATGTTTTGAAAACGATGATGGCTACTTATGTACAAATGTGCTTGCCACAGTGGATGGATGGATGGATGGATGGATGGATGGATGGATGGATGGATGGATGGATGGATGGATGGATGGTGATAAGAGCTGTAACAGCTCTCCCCACACCCCCCAAAAATAAAGGCAATGAAAAACAAAACTGAAAAAGAAACAGAAACGGCAAACTCCTCCCCAGATTGAAACTCTCCTGTTTGTCCCTGCTTTGCAGACCCGGCTGCCGGGGGCTCTGACGACTGGGCGTATGACCAAGGGATCAAATACTCCTTCACCTTCGAACTCCGGGATAAAGGCAGATACGGCTTTGCCCTCCCAGAATCCCAGATCCAGGCCACCTGTGAGGAGACCCTGCTGGCCATCAAGCATGTGGCCCGCTACGTCCTGGAGCACCTGTACTAGGACGGACGGCCAGAGGCTGGCGGGGCCTTCCTTCCACGCGCTCGCGTGCCCTGCCATGTTCTGCCCTGCATCCTTATTTCTGCTTGCACGGCTGCTCGCCTGATCCCAATCTTTCTCCTCAGCTGCCGCCTCTGTCAGAATCAATCAGATCGTGTCCGATCGAGCGCAGTAAAAAACGAGCCTTTGCAAACGGAAAACCCGAGCGGTGGTGTGATTTGGGAGGGGTGGTTGTGGACAAAGGAAGCCCTGAGTGGGCACGAGGTGGCACGGAGGCATTCAGAGGACTGCAGCGCTGGCCTTGGCTCACTGGGGGTACAGAGGCCTCTATGATAGCAGGTGGCTCATGAATCAGAACCGTCAGGGCAATCCGAAGTTTGCAGAATGTGCCGTAGGGATAAGCCTCTATCTTGGGTCACCTCCGCTCACGAAAGTATCTTAAAGAGGTGTCTCTTGCACACCCAGGCATTTGCTGAGGGCAGAGCAATGTCATGACAGCCCGGGATGGGTGTGCAAACTACTGGGGGGAAACAGGCCTTCAGTAAATAAGTGATTCGTTATTCTGGTAAGATTATAGTACTCCAACATGCAGAAGCAGTCCAGAGTGCCGCTAGCGAGCCAATGAGAAGCGTACCTCGTGGGGTAATGTCAAGAGGGTGAAACATTGAAGGTTGAGGGAGGAGGGGCGTGTGTAAGAGTTACAGACGGAGGTGGGGTCCGCGGGGGCAGAGCTGAGAAGAGACCTTAAGGATGTGGGACACTGACCTAAACCTAAGGAGAAGCCACTGGAGACATCGTGTGTGAATAACATGATCAAACGTTTATTGAAACGCAGGTCAAGTAGGGTTTTGATGCAAGGCAGATCCAGTGTAAGGCAAGAGTGAGCGGGGCCCTGGCTGGACCAGCCAGATTTAGGAAGACAGAGACAAAAATGGCATTACTTGAAATTTTCCAAAATTAAAACCGACCGTGCTCCTGTTTGGAGCGCCTCGCGCACACAGTTCAAATCCCAAATAGAATGATATGTTTTGGGATCCTCTTGGAGCGCATCCTTTGAGAGTCATAGAATAAAACATCAACTTGCTATTTTACATGTCGCATCAGGAAAATAGGGTTTCATACCTCCCATATGCTAAAATTCCTATGACCACGTTCTTTGCAAGAAAACTGATTTCGAAAGCTAAGCTGAAGAATGATTCATTACATCCAGTGTCCACTGGGTGGCAGCAGTAAAACTGCTGCAAATAGTCATGCAACCCGCTTCAAAATAATTCCATCGCTTATCACTTAATAGAGAGACCATTAGGTACACACACACAGGTTATGAACTCATCCGCAGTACTCATATGCAACAAACAATAGATGTAAATTAGCTAAATTGTTCTCGTCCCACTGTGGGTCTGCTGTGAATCGGAGGACTAGTTCAACCATCACATCTGAGTGAAGTGAGCCTGCTGGAGTGTCCTTCCCTGGGTAGACCCGCGATGATGTACTTTCTTACCCTACCACACAGAACCCATGAAAGTTCCAAAATTGAGTGGTTGAAAAACAAATTTCCCCCTAAAATATCAAGGAAATTTTGAGGAGAAGATTAAAGACTAAGGACATCAAATATGCAAATAGTCGCATTTAAAACGGCGTGTATCCAAGACTTCCTGAACCTGGCGCCTTGTGACCATAACTCTGGCTGAATGAGAGCTAGCTCGTGGAGGTTGCCGCTTGGTCGGTCTAACTTGAGTGGGGAAAGCAGAGCCAACCAGCCTTCATCCTCAGCACGGCAGTAGTGCCTAGTGCCCCCCGGCCTGGCTGGAGACTGCAGTGTTCCTGCCTTACTTCACCCCACTGGGAGCCCCAGGCTCCTCTCACCCCACCTCCTGTAACCTCACTCCACTCTGAGATCCCAAGACTGGGTCTGAGCCCTTTCTTCCAGCTCCCCCAAATTGACAACGGACCAGCAACATAACATTGGCCCCAGAGTCTCGTCTTTCTCAAAGGAGGTGTCCAGAAGACCCCCAGTCTGGATGTGCAGTCTGGGTTATGGAAGTCTTTGTACATATCTCGATTACCAGCCCTTCCCTGATGCTCCTCCGTTCCGGCTGGCTCACCTAAACAAGCCATCAAAGGCAGAGCCCCTCAGGCCTGGACAGAGGCACTACAAGTTACAGAGGTGGTCTGAGGGGGGGAGGGTGTCTTGATGTGGCTCAGAGATTATCTCACTGGAACAGGGTGCCACTCCCCTAGCTCTTGGATCTGGCTCCGCCCGGCTCACACACTCGCCTCTCTGTTCAGAAATACCTCCCTCGCTGCAGTTGGTGATGACCGGTCTCCGCGTATGCGGTGTCCTTGTCAAGAATACCGAAGAAACCATCACTCAGGCAGCACCTTTTTCTTTCAACATAGTCTTCAGGAGATAGCTAAGTCTGTGTCCAGAAATAATCGTGGCATCAGATTTGAAAGTGAAGAATTAGCCGAGCGATTCTGGTAAATCACAATCAAACAGGTATGTGCTTCCATTGTCTGAGAGATTTCTTTTGTCGCGAGATGGAAACAGAACACTAAAAAGCACCGTAACAAATGAAGCGATTTTTTGAATCTAGCTAGATCAAGACGACTACAAAAATCCTAGCAGTGCAAAGTTCTAAAAAGATGGAACATTGTTGCCAAGGGAAGCATTAACATTTTAATTTACTTTTAAAGAGATTAATGTGACCTATGAAACATCACAGTCGTATACAATAAATCCTGAAATGATCTGGTTTCCAACAACTATTCCAACAACTACTCCATCCATATGCGAAGACCTCTTGTAAATCTTGATGCCGTCATACAAGGTTGCACTCGTTTGGAGAAAAAGCTCCAGAACATTCTGGAAATCCATCCCTTGTACTTTCCTCAAGGACAAGAGAGGACACGTGGGGGGTCTCAAACCCGTCACAGGCGCATTCCCTGGTGCACCGTGGAACACGCAGGGCTGTCACTCAGCCGGAGAAAGAGGAGGCTGTCTGCTCCCCTCAAGATTGACAGCCTCACTCACTCGCTCACTCACACTCACACTCACCCAGGCACTGATGCTCACACACACGTGCACTAACTCACCCATGCACACACTCATACCCACACACTGACACGCTCACACACTAACACACTCATATACAAACTCACATACTTGTACATCCACACACTCACACACACATTCTCACACTCACTCACATACACACTCACTCACTCATGCCCTCACTCATACTCACACTTTCACATTTTCTCACTCTCACTCACTCATACTCTCACACACACGGTCACACTCACAAGCTCACACATACACACACTCATACTCTGTCACTCTCACACTCACTGCCACATTCGCTCACACTCACACTAATACTCACACTCACTCATACACACTCACTCCCTGTCACACTCACCCTCTCACACTCACTCACTCTCACTCACTGCCATCGAGGGCACTCCAACTCCCAGTGACCCCATGGTGCAGGGCAGAAGGGCTCCTGTGGGTTTCTGAAACGGAACTCTTAGCGAGTCGGAAGACTAGTCTCTCTCCCGTGGAGTGGCAGGTGATTCCTAACTACTGCCCTTGTGGGACACCAGCGCCCGTGTTAGCCCCAGAGACCCTGCAGGGGTCACGGTGGGTTGGAATGGGCTCCACGCGGTGGTCCTGCTTCTGCCTGCCCTACTCCAGAAACCAGGAAGTGTGAGTGCGCAGCAGAGATGAAGAAGAAGCGCTTGCATCTACTGTCAGAGACTTGCCCTGGAGAGACCAGGGCCTTCCAAGCATTTCACCAGATCCTCAAAGAAGACGGGAATCAATGTGTCCTTCCCGCTCTCCCTCAAAGAGCCCACTGGGCACAGTTTTAAATCCAGTCACCCAGAAGCGCCAACATGCTAGGATTGAGGACGATCAGTAGGTGTTTCCTCAACTGTTTTGTATTTTGAAAACCCTTTGTACCGCGTATTCATTAGTTTCAGCATTATTAAATCAAACCTCAAGTTGAAAAACCAACGCGGCACCACCAACAACGCCTTTTAAAAATTGCCACATTGAAACAAACAACAGAGAGAGGTTTTGCCCCAACCGCATGGTCATCTGTCATCCACCATGTGATGATGCTGCTGATACTCATCAGGGCTGGGGTCTGGCTGGTGCCAAGTTTCTGCTGATAGAAGCTGACCCTTCCACCAACGGCCTGCGGAAGCACACTGGTTTTTCTTTTCCTCTTGCTTTTTTAGCACTACCTCGTACCAAGTCCTCTGCAGAGGTGGTCTTGCGAAACCCTCACATCCACTTGCTAACACCCATTGTTCTCCTGTTGCCAGGAGGGGAGGAGTCTTTGTGGATTTCGGCTCAGGGCAGCTCCTGCCGACAGACCACAGCTGCCCCCGGCTGGTGGGTTTGAGCCAGGACTTCCAACTAGTTCATTCTGACTCGACCCCTTTGGAGAATTTGCATTTCCACCCTAGCTACATACATGGGATCCGAATCTGGATTTTAGTGAGGTCTATGTGTACTTAAGAAACACTGGACGATCTTGTTAAAATGTGCACTCAGGAGCGGGGTGGGAATGAGGAGCTGACACCAAGGACGCAAGCAGAAAGGAAATGTTTTGAAAATGATGGCAACGTATGCACAAGTGTGCTTGGCACAATGGATGAATGTATGGCTTGTGATAAGAGCTGTATGAGCCCCCAGTAAAATAATTAAAGATAATAATAATAAAATAATGATAGCATGTGGATTCTGGCTTAGTCTCTCTAGGGTGGACATGCAGATCTCAACAGGGAGTGTAATTAGAAAGAACAAGCTAGACGTTCAGGTTTGAATTGCCACGCATGTAACCACTGACCCCACCGGGCTCCTTAAGAGTGATCGTATCATCCCATTTTACAGACAAAGAAACTAAGAACCAGATGGCAAGGCCCTCTCTCCACAGCCATGCGGTATCTGTGAGACCATCTGTGCTTAGAGCTGTCTGACCCCACAGTCCAACTCTTTTTCCTTGTGCCCACCAAACACACTTCTTGTTGTTGTCACACGCATCCACTTTATGTACAATGGAATGAGACACAGTCGTACTTGCATCATCCTCACAAGTGTGAGGTTTGAGCCCTTTGTTGCAGCCCCGGGGACAGTCCACCTTGGTGGGAGTCGTCCTCCTTTTTGTTAATCCTCGACTCTGCTGAGCGTGATGTCCTCCTCCTGGAAGTGGGCCCTCCTGGAAACATGCCCACAGTACAGGAGATGGACCCTCATGGTTCTGGCTTTTAAGGAGCATTCTGGGAGCACTTCCTCCGGGATAGAGTGGTCCGTGCTCTAGAGCGCAATACTGTTTGCCCTCACTATCGCTGACACGCATCGACTGTTCTTTGCTTTTCTGTAGTCTTATCTAGTTTGCAAACACATCCCAAGTGATTAAAAATACCACAAATCGGGCCAGGCACACCTTAGTCATCAAAGGGATGTCTTGACTTTTGGAACAGTTTCAATCTGTTGTAGCAGATTTGTCCAACGTGCTCTGTCATCTGATTGTCTGCTGCAGCTTTGATAGGTATTGACTGCGAATCCAAGTTAAATGAAACCTTTGGAAACTTGACTCATTTCTCCATTTAATCTGATATTGCTTGTTGGTCCAGCCATGAGAGTTGTAGGTTTGTTTGTTTTTATGTTGAATTGTAATTCATAGGCTGTAATATTTCATCTCATCCATAAACAGCGAACAAGGCTATATCCTCCACATATTGTAGTTGTTTTGTTAGTCTGGGTAGACTAAAGAAACAAATTCATGGACACTCATATGTGTATAAGAAAGAGCTTTCTATACAAGAGCAGTTGAACATTGAGAGAACATCCCAGCCCAGTCCAGATCAAGTCCATAAGTCCGATATTAGCCCAGATGTCTGATACCAATCTATAAAGTCCTCTTCAGACTCACACAACACATGCAATGATGCCAAATGCAGGAAGATCACAGGCCAGTGGGTGGGAAGTCTTGTGGATCCAGCGGCATTGTAAGCATCTCAGCGCTGGCAGGGGTCTCCACAGGGCTTGTCCAGCTCCAGAGGTCTGACTCCATCAGCCTCTCTCCATGTGTCTTCTCCACGGGGATGTCTCTCAGGGAGTGAGCATGTGTCCCACCTCCACTGAGCTATTTATATCTTTAGCGCCTCCAAATGAGGTCATCAAGCTATGACCTGATTGACAGGCCAGACTCTACACCTTCGCTCCGAATCCTCAACTTGACACCAGATTATGTAACTACCACAGTTGTTAATGAAATTTTCTCCAATCCTGGTGTCAGGATTCGTATTATCAGGTCACGATATGGGTTGATTGGGTATGGAGATTGGATACAACCCAGAACCACAAAATCTTTCCTGAATTTAAAGCACACAGTATTCTCTTGTTCTGTTCAAAGTGCCTCTTGCTCTAGGTACACATTCTGTGTGAGCACAATCAAGTGTTCAGAAGTTTCCATTCTTCCCAGTTTCATCATATAGTTTGTTATGATTCATACAGTTAAATGCCTATGCATCATCAATAAAACACAGGTAAACATCTTTCCATCATGCTCTGCTTTCAGCCAAGATCTATCTGGCATCATCGCCCTCTGAAATGGAATTGCTGGCAGTGCTGTTGCAATAATTTTTAAATTGTTTTTGGTAATATTTAATTGTGTACATTATTAGTGATCTTGTTCTACCATTTCACCCTTCTGTTGGGTCACTTTTCTTGCCAGGGGCACAAATATGCAGCTTGCTCCATAAGCGAGGCAGGTAGCCCTTCTGCAAATATCTTGGCTTAGACTCGCTTGTGGCTCCAGCCCTGCACTGATGTGTGGAAACATCTCATTGGGCATTCTGTCCAGCCCTGAGCCTTACCTTTGACTAAAGCCCTCAGCACAGCTTGGGCGTTTTCTTTCAGTACCATTATTCTTGATCACCTGCTGCCTCCTGAAATAGTTGAAGGTGAACTAATTCTTTTGGGTTCAGTGACTCTGTATTCTTTCCATCTTCATATGAACCTTCCTGTATCTTTCAGTAGTTTGTCCATTGAAATAGCTAAAGTTTGTTGTGCCAACCTGGCCGATAAACACATGTGGGTTATTGAAGGGCGGAGGGATAAATGGCTCGGTGAGCCTCGCCTTTCTAGTTCTTGGGTCTCTTACTTTCTGATGGTTGGACCAGAGTGCAGCTGCCTTAGCCAGTTCCCTGCTTCAGCTGGCAAGGGTCACTTCCTGCAAGACATTCCTGAAGAGAAACCACATGGACCTACCCCGATGCAGCCCTGGTTCCTGGAGCATCTGTGTGGAGACCCCTGCCAGCGTTGAGATGCTTACACATTCACTGATTCGGCTTTCCTCCTGCAGTCGGTGTCATTGCGTCGGTTTTGTGAGATGGAGGAGGACTTTGTGGATTGGTGTTGGACATATGGGTTAATGGGTTAATGTTGCATTTGTGGGCTTGGGCAGCACTGGGTTGGGATGTTTTCTTGATG